AGTCTGCCGTTTGTTACCGCTCGTACGTGTCAATTTCATACTATGTGCTGCCCCTCAGCTTCGCCCGATTTTCCCCGCGTCTACTCAATCTTCAAAAAACAGGATTGAGTAGACGCAGGGGAAATCGCGCGAAGCCTCCGGGGCAAAATGCGGCCGCGCAGCAGCTCGTGTGACATTGGCACGTACCATCGGGGCAAAAGGGAAGAGCGAGCGTGGAGCAGCGCTTGTGGGAAATCAGCCTATGTTTTCTCGGCTACAAAGGGATAGGTAAAAGTTTTGACGTGTTTTCTTTCCATAGGTATGACACTGCCCTGTATAATCCCTGGAGCGACTGGTCCCCCTGGGCTTCCGGGTCCCCCAGGATTTCCAGGTATGAATGCTGTGCCAAAACACACACAAGCCCAGGATCTTATCTTCTGCATGGACATCTGCACTAAACTTTTGTTTCTCGGGACGGTTTTGACTTTCCCCCCCATAAATATAATTTGGTACTGCCATATGACCACTTGCCAGCTCTTCTGGTCCCCATTTGTATGCACACCACAGAATAAATCTGGGACTGAGCATGGTCTTATTTGAGTATTTTAGGGGGATGATTTCTGAATGCTGAAAGCCAGTTGAGAGAGCGGGGGACTCTCAGTTAGGAAAGGCCATCCCAGGGAAAGTGTGGGTTTGGGAATGGATTGGCAACCCGAATTTGTGGCGTATGCCTTCTTAAGAAAACGGTTGCTGTCCATTTGGGAACTGAACCACAGTACTTTTGATAGACTGGGGGCGATTTCTCACTAGAGCTGCCTCTCAGCACAGCCGCCGTTTGCCCCAACACAAACATGTCAATTTCACACCCGAAGCTCCGGGGCTGCATTTTGACTCGCGGCTTCGCCCGATTTCCTCCACAGTTTCGTGATCCTGGTTTTTGAGGATCATGAAACTGCAGAGGAAATCGGGCGAAACCGCGGGTCAAATGCAGCCCCGCAGCCTCGGGTGTGAAATTGACATGTTTGTGTTGGGGCAAACGGCACTGCGCTGCGAGGCTGCTCTAGTGAGAAATCGCCCTGGGTTTTATTGCTGCTGCTTATCCGTATTAACTATTTAAAACATAGGTATTTGTCTGTTTATATGACGACAGCTGCAAGAATCTTATATGCCAAATATTGGGAAACTATGGTGATACCAACAAAACAGGAGTTTGTGAATAAACTTTTTGAAACAGCAGAAAATGATAAACTGACTTTAGAAATGGGATTAAGCAAAGAGTGGACATTTCAAAAAACATGGGAAACGTTTTATGATTGGTATAATGCAAATGTAATAGAAGATTAGGCAATGATAGCACAATGGACTTGAGAACACAGAAGACAGAAGAATGGAAAGTGTTTGATATAGCGTTTTTATTAATTAAGTAATTGCATATAAGCATATAATGTAACTGCACTCTTGGTATATACATTATGTGTAGTAGAGTGTCTGTTTGTAGTGTGTAGATTTGTTTGTTGTAGATTATAAAAAATTAATACGAGTGTACCTATGGGAACTTAAAAAAAACAAAAACTATTTAAAACATTTTTATGCAACCTTTCCACCCAATCAAGGCCTACGAGGCAGTGAACATAAAGAACGTTAATACATTTAAGCAATTAAAACACATTTAAAATGATAAGACCATTCAATTAAAACAATACCAGAAGGAGGGCCAGTAACCATTATTGGGGGAATGCCAGAGGAACCAAAAAGTCTTCACCTGTGGGCGAAAGATAGCGAGAGAGGGAGACAGGTGAATTTCCCTGGGGAGGGTGTTATGTTTACTGCTTCCATTTTCCTGCTTTAATGTATTAAGTGATCTGCAGACTGTTGACTCTTAGGCCATGTTTACAGTGACTGTATTTTATTGCAGACTGTTTTTATAGCTATTGCCTCAGCCCCCTGAATGGTGGAAAGGAGATCCAGAAGTCCTGTGAAAATGGAAGTGCGACAAAGTAAAATGGGGCTGACTCAGAAAATGCAGCACTGTTGTGTCCGCTGGCCGCCACCAGGGGCCAGCGAATACCCCAGAGCTTGACTCTGGAAGAACAATGGGGACTAGGCTCCTGGTCTCTCCACAGAGGGACCAATGGGACGTTGGCGGGAGATTCAAACCCACCAATGGGACCTAGGGGGGTGTCCCCAGTTGTGTACATAGTTGGCCCACGGGCCGTTTCCCTTTGTCCTTGTTGTGTAGCAGTGAAGCGTGCAGGATGCTATGCGAACCGCAGCGGCCTAGCCATGCAGTTAAACCCACTACACAATAAGCACATTGCTAGGGAGAAGAGTAGATGAGTTTGGCCTTTGCTTCTAACGTGCAGGATTAGATACTCACTGATCATACACCCCTGGAAAACTCTTACCCTGGGATAGATCTCATGCAGCAGAAAGGAGGGGGGCTGAGAGCAAACTGTAGAGCAGACAAGAAATGGCAGGCAGCTCTTT